GTTCTAGTCTGCCTAGGGTTAGCTATTGGTCATTTAGTTGTTTCAGTTGTTATTTATTTCAGTCTTATTTTTTGCTCTATTTGTTATGTAAAGACTAAGGGCAGATCTGTCCTTTCATCTGTCCTTTCCATGTAATGAGCATAACCTATAAATATTATTTAAAGTGGCGGCGGCAGAACATTAAGCTTCTGCTCCTCCTTTCAACTCTTGTGTTCTACTGCTTCTCCTCCCTTTTCCTCTTTTTCCCTCTTACCTTTCTTCTTATTTTCGATCCTGAAATCCATTAGGGTTCAAGACTGATAACAGTCCTGAACTTCTACTATAGGAAAGGAAGTTGAAAAGAATTAAGGGCATATGATTAACTATATCATAAATTAGGCACTAAAGATGGAGAGAATGAAATTTATAAACTGGAAAAAATAAGGGCCGCACACTAGTAGGATGTTACGAGAAGTATCTCATTTTATAGACTAGAAAAACTATCACACAAGTTGTTAATTATAATGTGTTTTGGTGGATGTAAATGGTTTTTGACCTCTATTCTAGCTAGATGTCAAGAATGCCTTTTCTAAATAAGGATTTGCAAAAAGTGTACATGCTACCCCCTATAGGGTTCATTGCTCGTAGACATTATGTAAAGGTGTGCCTCCTTAGGAAGGCTCTATTTTCTGAAGTAAACACCTAGAATTTGGTTAAATAGATCTAGAAAGACAGGAAGCCATGCAAATCATAAACTATTTATGAAATAGAGTAGACAGTCTATGGAACTGATTGTTTAAAGGGCTCAAAGAATTTCTGGTTCTGAATTTAATTATTAAGCATAAGTTGTGACATCAGAGGAGTATTTTCATCTTTGAATATAAGTATATACTAGACCTATTGAAGTTTTTTTTTTTTAGTTTGTATTCTTTCCTTAGGGTATGGAAGGAGATAATCTTTGTTGAAGAACATGCTCTCATTAATGGACACAAACTACTTTTGTAGATTACTGTCTATCAGATTATGTAAGTTGACTACTAGTAAGTTTCATTTAAGATATCCTATCTGCAATAAAGTAATATAAATATACCTTTAAATATGTAACTTAAAGAAGTACAAGAATAATGTTCCCAAATCATCTATCTTGGCAAGCAACCTTACTCTTGTATAGTTCTTAAGGTTATGAATAACTATTACCTTAACAGAGTCAGTCGGTGACAAGCCAGTGTTAGTTATGATTATGAGGCATTTAATATCATGTTCGTTTGCATATTCATACTGCTCTGTGAGGCTTGGATCTTGCATAGGGACAAACTGAGCCTGATACATATCCATTACACAAACAGGTTAGAAACAAATGGCAGACCAGTGGCACTAATAACATAGAATGTTCCCAAATAAGAGTGCACATATCAAATTGGAAACCGGAGAAGCTATTCAGATATGTTATGAGTTCACCTTGATGTTTGCTTGCCATAGCTCAGCAGCTAGTTCCATTCGCTCTTTGAGTAAACCACCACTACCTCTTGAGCAAATAAGAAAATCGGTTCCAGATTCATTTCTGCATAAGCAAGATGGACAAAATACCAGACATTATTTGCAAGAGGGTACAACAATATAGCTGCTAACTCAAGGTAGGGTATATCAATAGAAAAATAAATAAAAAAGCTGCAAAGAAATAGCACCTGCTTGGTCTAATCTCAACTAGAGAATGCTGAACAATCTTCTCTAATGCAAGGCTTGTCCCAACAGCACCTGGTGGATTTGATTTCTATGAAAGAAAACGGAAATTGTTAACTTAAAACTGGATATTATGCAAATCGGGATAATAGAAGTTCAGCAGGTCAGTAGGTGATGGACAATGTCGTACATGTTTGCAAAAATAAGTGTAGGTACATAGTGGTCACTAAGACCATCAGAATACAGAGGGTGTTAAACCAATGCTACGTGGATGCTTGCGATGAATCCATAACCCACCGCATGCTTGCGATAAGTTCATCGCAGACCTGCGATTGCGATGAACTCATACCTAGGACAAGTTGCGATGAACCCGGCACCATTACAAGAACTGCAGAATCACGGTAGATTGGGAATAAATGCCGGTTACACATGCATCTTTTAATTACGCATGCGGGTACGCACGCCAAACGATGATGTCACCCGCGCCACGTTGGAATACTAGGGTCACATACGGAGAGAATCCATAAGGGATAGGATTCTCTAATAATGATCCCTTAATAGTCAAACAAAAGGAAAAAGATCTCCTTTCCTAACAGAAAAGAACTTCTTCCTTGGTAACTGTAAAGAGACTGGGCTGAATGGGCCCTAACAAGAGTCTGTTAACAAAATTTTGTTATGTCATTTTCGGTTTGGTCATTTGTCTTTTTCTGCTTTAAGTCATCTGTTCACAGATATGTTTAAAGGAGTGTCTTTATCTAGACTTCATTGTGAGTCATGTGAGCTAGCAAAGCATTGTAGACATTCCTATTCAATCAGTAATAAAAGATCTGTTTCTCCTTTCCATATTGTTCACTCTGATGTGTGGGGGCCATATCACATGCCAACCATGGGGGGCTACAGGTAT